TTTGTTGGAGTGGGTATGGCCTTGTTGGAGGAAGTGTGTCACTGTGGGGGTTGGCTCTGAGATCTCATATTTGCCCAAGCCATGCCAAGGGCTTCACACTATTTCCTGTTGTCTTCCTATCAAGATGTAGCCAGTACCCTGTCTGCCTGCATGCCACCATGCTCCCCGCCATGATGATAATGGACTGAACCTCTGAAACTGTAAACGAGCAACCCCAATTAAAAGGTTTCCTTTCTAAGAGTTTCCATGGTCATGGTGTCTCTTCACAGCAATAGAAACCCCAACTAAGATAAACACCAATATACCATGATACAGTGTGATCTCAGAATTCCACAGTATAACTCTGGATGGAAGAAACCTGAGTCCCTGTCAGCTGGCAGGAAACTGAAGCCCCTTCTCTAGTACAGGCTGGGCCTCCTTACCCAAAATGCCTGGCACCAAAAGTTCCTCAGATTTTGAGTATTTTTAAGTTTCAGAATATTTGCATACACGCAGGTCTGAAAACAAATTCACTGGTTTCCTAGGTATCGTATGCATGAAACCGGAAGGTAATATGTAGTTTTAAGTGTATCTGAATTTTGCCTACAGCCTATCATAGGCCACTGGATAACCTGTTGGTGCTTATATATTCTCAGAGTTTGGGTTGTGTTGTAATTTGTACACATGGACTAGAGATGCCCAGCTGCTATGACAGTCCATCAAATCTCTCTCTGTCCATCACTGACTAACTCTGAACCGGGCCAGTCCTTAGTCTTTCCACACCCTGGTTTACACAGCCTCCAAATGAAGACAATCATAACACCTAGGACACTGCAGATTAAATGACTCTAATCCCCACAAGCACACTTAGAATACGATCTTCTGCCAAAGAAGCCCTCTGTGTTAGCTGTGGTTAGAAGAGCAGATTCCTGAAACACAGCCTGAGTCGGTTTTAGCACATACAATTTCCACTCACAGCAAAGACAAAATAGCAGCGAAGAAAACATGCAGATGTCTCAGTCCCAGTTCTTTGGTTTTCATAAATGAAAAACGGGAGCCAGGCTAACAAAACCACTGACATGTTGGGAATCCCATAGAAGTGTGGGAGGCTCGGGGGAGGAACTGAGAAAGTTTGACGACAAATGAAAGCGCAATAGCCGTATAGACCGAGGACACATCCCACAGCCGACAGCCAGGAAGGTGAGGACGGCAGTTCCCTTGGCTTCATTTCAGAAACTCTAATTTTTCTTAATTTTCCTAATTAAAACAAAGTTTGCCTTTTGAACACCCACTCTCTATGTAAATTCAGAGCTCGGCCTTGGTAAACCACAGTGGGGGGAGTGTTTATCTTTTCCTGGCTGGCTTGGCAGGCTTTCCTCGAGGGATGTGGAATACAGCTGGGACCATCCTCTCATTTATTGTCAACCAGCAAGCAGCCCAGACCACAAAGGACAGTTGTCAGAAAAGGGGGAGCTGGAAGCTGAAATACGCTGCCATTTTGTTTGGAAATGAAGGCAGTGAACAGAATCGGAAGTGGCAGGGAACTAAAACCTTCACACCAGCCACCCGAGATCAGGCCAGCAAATGCCAGGCAACGAGGAAATACCGGACTACTGCATAGAGACCTGGGAGTGGGAGAGGGCAGGGGTGGGGCAGGGGCCAGGCAACCGGTGCAGGCAGCTCGGGGGTCCACAGAGCGAGGAGAACCTGGAGTCCCTTCAGGAGCAAAGAGCACACCAGCTTTGATTTGAGGTTGAGGGAAGGGGAACCCTTATCTAAGTCAGGTGGTGCTGGCAGACGTGCAGGCTTGGAACAGACATGGGAGGCACCCACTGGAGCTATGGTGTATCCATTAGTGCTGTCCACTAATTCACTCCAACGAACAGTGTTTTCTGAACTTTAAAGGGATCTGAGGGACTACCTGGCCCGTTAGTTCCCAGTTTTTATTCACGGGCTGCCCTTTGTTTTCGATTGCTGTGATAACACACCGGGATCAAATGCGACTCGGGGAGGAAAGGGTTTAACTTCCCATGTCCCCATCACACTCTATCACTGAGGGACAAAGTAGGAACCTAAGCAGGGCAGGAACCTGGAGGCAGAAACTGAAGCAGAGACCATGAAGGAATGCTGCTTACAGGCTCCCTTTTCAGAGTTTGGCCAGCTTGTGTTTTTATACAACCCGGGACCACCCTGAAGGATTAGCACCTCCGCCCCAGCCCTCCCACGTGGATTATTAATCAAGAAAATGTCACACAAGCTTTGTGACATACCATCTGATGGGGGCATTTTCTCAATGGATGACTCGAACTTGCGTCTAGTTGACAAAAACCTAGCCAGCACTTACCCCTCGGAGGAGCCCAGAGTTCTTGTTAAGAACGCAAGTAATGCCAAGTAGGGCAGCACTTGGAAAGCAGAGGGTCCTAAGTTTAAGGCCAGCAAAAGCAACAAGACACTGCTGGCTGAATTCATAGATAAAATGTGGACTAGAAATGACCAGAGTCTGGGGCTGGGTAGGTAACAGGGACTGTTCAATAGGTAGAGTTCCTGCTAAGAATGATGAAGACACTCTGGGCAGGTCAGGCAGCAGCGTGGATGTTCTTGGTGATGCTGAACTGTATGCTTTCAAATGGTCAAAGTGCCAAGCCTTGTGTTGGAATGTAAAACCATAGGAAGAGGAAAAATGCATTACTGTTGCAAATGGAAAAAAAAAATGGTGATACACCACTTCCAATATGGCTGGCCCAGTGTTCATTACAACTTTTGTTTGTTTGTTTTTAGACTTCTGAAAAAGGGTCTCACACCATAGCTCAAAATGGCCTTGGAACTGACTTCGTAGCTCAGGCTGGCCTCAAATGCAATCCTCCGGCTTCGGCTTCCTGCGTGCTGCGGTTAGAGATGTGAGCCACCAGGCCCCGCTTCATTACTCCTTAAAAAATAGCCCAAAGGAGCTTGATGGAAGTGATCTGAGGACCGCATTTTAAACTTATCAGTTTTTTTAAAAGCTTGTTTCCCTTTTAGAGAGAGACACACGGAAGTGTGCAAAGGTGCTCAGATACGACGCACTGTGGTCAGTGTGGCGGGGCCGTGCCGTAGTGATGGTGTAGAGAAAGCAAGTGCAGCCCTGAGGAGCTCACTGTGGATGCGTGGGGCTTCTTCGTTCGCTGTGACCCCCTTCTGTGTAGGGTTGAAATGCTCTGTTAACAAGAACACTTCCAAAACAGATTCAACTGGAGTGTAGGTCTGACCACAAGGGAAGACTGAGGAAGGGGTAGAGGGCAGTGCCAGGCTGCTGTATGTAGGTCAGTGTGGCTGAGGATCCCACGCAAGCACTCTGCTCTCTTTGACGCTGTAACTGGGGGTGGGGGGGTGTCATTCACCTGCAGCATCCACAGTTCCATCTGTGGTGGTAGTCAGGCCTGCCTGTGGGGACTCACCGGGCCAAGATTGGGCTGAAGTAAGCCAGCGCTCTTGCGACATCACCAGAGGGAGATGGCGATGTCCATCTACACTCCCCTGGGGCTCCCTACTGGGCTGGATCATGCTCCTGAGGCACAGTGACCAATGGGAGTGTCCAGACAAGAGGAACAGGCTGGGAAGGGACTGAAGACAACAGCGTGTGAAAAATGCTGAGACACTGAGAACGGTGGGCTTAGAGAAGACAAGTTCTGCGGACCTGTGACAGGTTTTTCTCAAGTTAGGAAGGCAAGGGATATAGCACATGTGTTTCAGAAAATGGACGTTAGGAGGAGCTGCAGTTTGGATCAAGAGGAGAAGGTTACCTGTTCAAGCGTGGTAGTGCCCACGGAGCTAGAAGCAACGTTGAGCTACAACGAAACACTTGTGTTGTTCAACTGCACTGGGCTGTGTCTCAATGGAGTGAGCTCCAGCCACAGCTGAAGGTGCGGAGTGGTTATACAGGAGAGGCCCAGAGTGCTATGGGATGGGAGACGGGCTCTGGTACTGTGAGAGCTGGAGCTGAGAACCACCAGTACGAACTGTGGGCCTTGTGCAAGGCTTTGCCTCTCTACTCAGTTCTCTTTGTTTGTACAAGCAGCAGGTTGGAGTTGACATCTCGGGGAGACAAGCCAGATGGCTGTTGCGATCCCCTTTCCTGTCCCATCTGTGAATTGCTCTCTTTGCCGCTAGCCTGTCAGCACTCCAGACTCAACTGCCCACTGTGGAATCAGCTGTCCTGTCCAATTACTCCAGTCCGTCACGGGTGCTGCTGTTCTGATGGGCTTCTTCGTGAGGCATCTCAGAGTCTCTTTGCCTCCGTCTCCTCTTTGGGTCTCTCTCTCTCTCTCTCTCTCTCTCTCTCTCTCTCTCTCTCTCTCTCTCTGCCTCAAGAATGTTTCTGTGATTTGCTCTTGATTCTGCAAGTCTGTTGACACCATTATAAGCTGGCCCCATCACATAGCATGCAGACAGTAGCTGCTGATTTCTGAATCAGAATGGACCTTGGAGAGTCAGGCCCAACCTGCCCCCTTTATACAAAGAAAAATGAGCCACCAGCACTGAACAGTGAGGTCACATGGTTCATAGCGGTGGTTCATAGCTCTAGTCTACCCCGTACCACACTCTTTCTGTTCCTCCATGTCCCACCAGCCCTGGGACTGCTTCTCAGGCCACCCTGGTGTGTTTCAACATCATTAGTTTTACGGAGATTGGCCATGACTTAAGCTTAGGACGATTGGTTTATTTGTACAATACTAGGATGGTCTTTGGTTAAACTACATGTGTGCACATCCAAGAACTATCCCCACTTGTCCCTGCAAGAGAACAAGGGTCTGCTTTGAGTTAGAGAACACAATCTTTTCCGTGCTTCTCACACATACTGCCAAAGCAGGACTGCTGAATTGTGAAATAAAGAGAATTCCTAGCCAGCTCAGGCTCTCTGGAGTCCGTAAATCCAGGTCGTTGGGATACTAAATGTATTGTCGAGCTCCAATGAGCACAAAAATGACATACATCATGTAAACTGGCTGTGCCCCGATTATGTCCATGAAAGGCCCTGGACTCACTTTGGTTCTTCTGTGGCTGTTCTGGTCTCTTCTAGTTCTTGTGCTTGTTTCAGCCAAGGTAATTTAGCTTCCACTGGACTTTTTTCTGAGAGAGAAAAAAGAAAGTAAACAATGAATTTCATTACTATCCATCATTAAGGACTTTGATACATGCTTGTTATTGACTGGAGAGTTCATTAACACAGGGTTATACTTTCCAAATGCACAGTACATTTGCTTCTGGAATGAATAAAATCCCTGCTATTTTTTTTTAATTAACACATTACAAAATGCAACCAAAACGATCCCCCATTATAATGAATGCAGTTGAACATCCAAAAGTTAAACATCCAAATGCCTTACATAACTCCTCACCCCTTTCTGCTCTTTTTATATTGAAGCTCTTATTCCAACAATATCAGAGTCTTCCTTTTGCCACAAATTCTTCTGGTCTCTTGAATTAATAAATTAACAGAGAAAAGCAAATATCAAGAGGCCAGTGAAGTGGAAAGATGAGATTCTGTGTGTGGCTTATTCAAATTCCATTGTTACCATGGGAGATGAAAGCCATCTACATGGACATGAAAGGGACAGTTGCTATGCCCTTCTGTCCTTTGAGGCTTCCATGACAGGAGGAGAGATCTAATCCAGTTGTGAAGTAAAGAATTTGGAGACACTTCAGGGAGACTAGAGACATGGAGAAAAAGTCTGTGGAAGTCCTGTTGGTGACAGAGGTAATAAGCAAAAGCTTCAAGAATGGGAACCTATAATGACTGTGTGTCTGCATGGCAGCTACTGCTCTTTCCACATGATGGGCTCAGTCAGACACATGTAGACTGATGAGTTGTGGGGCTTTCTGTATAAACAAGGAACCGAGAATTCCTGAGGAAGAATTTTACCATTCTGTCTGAGGTACTAAGGAAAAGTCTTTACAAAGAGGTGAGAACAATCTTTTCCCGTTTCCTTTTTATCACATCTGTCTATCTACCCATCTATCTATTCGTGTATCCATCTAGGT